GTTCAACATTGATAATAATCAGAAATGTTTCTCGAGCAGCAAATCAGCATATTAGAATGATTTCTGAAGATCATGTGACACTGAAGACTGGAGTAATGATGCTGAAAATACAGCTGCGCATCACAGAAATACATTACAGTTTAACATAGATTCACATAGAAACAGCTGTTTTAAACTGTATAAATATTTCACAATTTTTACAGTAAATAGTAAGCCTTGGTGAGCAGAAGAGACATCTTTTGTGCTAAGTTTACTAATGATTATTAGAGTATAGTCAGTATGCTAATGCAGAATTATTTTGTATTTGATCATGCACATCATGCGTCAGATGTGTGTTTAATTGCCGGATCACCTGTGTTGTGCTGCAGAAGGGGAATCTGGAGCAGCGTCTGGTGGAGGCGCAGGCTCAGTACCAGGCTCAGCTCTTCTCTCTGGCTCAGCTGGCTGGCGCTCTGGAGGGCGAGCTCACCTCGGTGCGCGAGAACACGCTGCAGCAGAGCCGTGACTACCAGATGCTCCTCAGCACCAAGGTCCAGCTGGAGCGCGAGATCGGCACGTATAAAGCTCTGCTGGAGGGCGCCGGAGAGCCCAGCAACCTCGCCGCGCTCAAGACGCCGGCCTTGAAGGTGGAGGTTGTGAAGAGCGGTCTGCTTTCATCAGCCGCTGCCGGTGAGTTACGCCTTAAGGTCCTTGCATACAGAGTCCGAAATTTTCATATGCGTTTTTTTGTATTCGTCATCCATTACTAATATTTCAGACGAGAATTTCGGACTCAAGGTCCTTGCACACTGAGTCCAAAATATCCGAATGTGTTTTTTCGTTTCTTTTTTTTTTTCGTATTCGTCATCCTTTCCTATCAAAATGCTTGCTCCGGATGCGAAAACGCAGAAAAACAAACCTGATACAAATTGTTTTTATGATGGACGAAAGTTTCGGAGGCAGTGTGTAAATGTGTTTGACACAACGTGAGGTCGTATTTATTTTTTAACGTGTGAAAATTTCAGACGACCTTGACCTTGACTGACCTTGAGTCCAAAATTTCCGTATGCGTTTTTTTGTATTCGTCATCCTTTCCTATCAGAATGCTCGCTACGGGTGCGAAAACGCAGAAAAACAAACCTGATCCGAATTTTTTTATGACCAAAAAAAGTATCAGATGCAGTGTGTAAACATGGTTGACACAACGTAAGATCGTATTTATTTTTTAACGTGTGAAAATTTCGGACTTCGAAACTACAAAAATCCTGATTACAAAGCTGATATTTGGTAATATGTTAAATCGTGGTAGTGAACGTGCACTGCCATAAATGTAAATGCTAACGCGAAACACTACAGACAGAAGCGTTGTTGTTTTCATGCATTGATCACTTTTGAGATTTTGGTCTACTTTGCTTCCATAATCATGTCTACGTTCAGACAAGTGGAAAGAAAACATCCAAAATACACATTTAAGTGTTTATTTTAATGCACCTTATCGGTTTATCTGTAGATTTCAATTCCAATTCATGTTTTCAAAGCTTTCTTACACTTTCTTACAGCACTTACAAACACCAAAACTTATAGTTTTATACCTCTCATATATCATTCACACTGATTCATACAACATATTACTCCTAAAAACATGGTGCAAATGTGTTTGTTTTCTTACAGACTTCATATTTATTTTCAAACCTTTGTTCATACTAAAACAATTTAACGTTTTAATTTGGACTAAAACACGGCATATCGTCCCAGACAGCAGACAGTTTCGGCCCGGATCTGGCCCACATCTGGCCCGCATGGATTTCACATGGGCCAGATGTGGGCTGGATCTGGGCCAACACTATGTTGCTGTCTGGGGTAAGATGTTCTGATTCTTAATTACTGTTCTTTAATGGTTCATCTTTTAGAATGTAATCTTTTTAAAACATTTGTTACATTTAGTGTATACTGTTTTCTGTTACATCTTATACCTGTTATTAAAATGACAAGACTTGAGTGTCTGTGATCATGATTGTGATTGGTCGCAGGTGCAGGGGGCGGAGTCGAAGTCCCCACCCCCTCTGAAGCGCAGTCAGGTGGTTCCGGCGCAAGCGAGACGGCGGTGGGCGGAGCAACAGGGTATGCTCTGATGTCATTGGAGGGGGTAGCAGCGGATGCAGTGATGTCATCAGGCAGTCCAGCAGCTGAGGTACGATCCGTCACAGTGCGCTGATTGTGTTTATCTGGTCTAAACTGTGTCTAAAATCGCCCCCTATGCCCTTAAATTGGGGTATAAACCTCATTCAATCCCATAATGCACCGCGATAACGAGTCTATAACCGAAGTACACTCAACAGCTAGCAAATACCCACAATGCACTGTGAGGGTCATGCGTTCTAATATATTCCTTTATTTCAGTTGACGTTTATTTTATTTCAGATAACAAAGATGTGTTTCTATGGTTTTAGGTTTAATTTTAGTTAACGATAATAGCCCTGCTGCAGGCTAACACTTACAAAATAGACGGTTTAAAATGCGGTTATTTTGTTGAAGAAATGACCTGGTTCTACGTTTAATTTTAGTCCAGTAACGTGACTGATTGAGTTACGTCCGTGTTTTATGGAGACACTTTTAAGGTCAGTTTAGAAAGACATACGTGAGATTTTACTAATGAGATCTTTCCTCTCTTGATTCTATAGATATAATGTCCAGTGGAGCGATGAGCGGGTCTTCATGGTGGTGCTGATGTCATCAAAGCTCAACCAATCGAACGCTGATGTCTCTCTACAGTGTCATGTGACCATCATCAATAAAACTCAAACTCTTGAACCGCTCTGTGTTTATTCACCAAAGTCAATAATATCTCACAAAGCAAGCCACAGACACAAAGATGTCAGCAGTCAAAGTTTATTAGCCATCAATGAACACAGCATTCATCATTTATGTTACATTTATTGATCTGAGATGAGTGAAGCGGATTATTGCACTGAAATACTACTGTACAGTCGTTCTGGAGGTTTAATGACAGTCACTAGGAGACTAAATACACAGAGCAGTAGATGTCTTGATTATTGTTGAACACGAGATTCAGGCTGCTGTTTGAGGGATGAAGACGATTTCACCGAAACACACATACAGAGAAAGATCATCGGCGTCCTGTGAGACCTGAAGAAGGAAACCAAGACATTCAGATCAAACACTGACACACGTCTGGGTCGAGCGTGTGTGTGTGTGTGTGTTACCTGTTCAGTGTGTGTCTGGAGTGTGTTCCTCTCCGCAGACCGGGTCTCCCTCCACCACGTACCACACCTCATTATGCCTGTTTAGCAGCTTCAGGGGACTAAAACACGCAAAGAAATAAAGTTAGCAGTTAAACGTATCAAGATTTCCGTGAAAAAATAAATAAATATTAGGGCTGGGTTTTGACACAAATTTCACAATTCGATTTGATTCTCATTCACAAGCTTGCGATTCAATTCGATTCGATTATTTTGGATATATATCTGGTACACATGCAAAATTTTCTTGAGGAAAAAAGAATCTCTCAACTAATGCTGTAAAATATACATGAGAGTCAGTTGGTGCTACATTACTATAATACTGAAGGTTAAAACTGACTGATTTTTTAGGCTATAGGCTACAACTGCTTAAATCACACAATTAAGTTTTTATAATAAAAGTTACAATTACATGACATTTCTACTTCAGTTCGTTTTTTGAAATATAAACATTTAAATGGTGGCTATCATCAAAAAACAAATTAAACACTGAAGAACAGTAAAATTTATAATTAATATGTTACATGGTGCATATATTTAGCAAAATGCTCCTCTCTACGGTTTATTTTTCTATCTGACTGAGTTTATGGTCACCGAATATGTTTTTCTGAGGTAAATGTGACGTTACGTGACATTGTTTACAAGCCGTTATATTGACATCTTTGCGCAGCTGAAACACTGATTGAGCGATTACACGAGACAGGATACTGATTGTAAAGTTGTACTCTTTCTTTAACTTACCTTCGGATGTTTAGTCATGTTTATTTTGTGCTATAACTAGTAATAAAGTGGAGGAGATGATCAGTTCACGTGCGCTACAGCGATCTGTCACTCCACATTAAACAGCGCCAAAACGGCATTTATTGTTTGAATCCTGCAATACAATGGACAGAATTTGAAATCTGAGACTTTGTTTCATATTAAAAGCACCAAAGCACAATGCTTATTGTGATTTATTGGATGGGAAGTGCACTTCAATGTTTCATCCATTAGCTGAAAACAGGCCAGACTAATAGATTATTGGAATTAATTTAAGAATCGATATCGTTTCGTAAAACTGAGAATCGATTATTATTAGAGATATCGATATTTTTTACCCAGCCCTAATAAATATAGTAAAAAAAATAGAAATAAAGTTGTCATGAAACTAATTTTTTACTTCTGTAATCTGAAAACAACAGGGAAATGTTATTTGGAATAACACGCAGCAATGAATCAGACACAAGAAGACCACAAGCTTGAATTAAGATAGTAGTACTGTTTTGTTCTTTTTTAATTTTATACTTATTTTAATTATCATGCAACCTCTTTAAAAAAATAATTTAGTAGAAATAAAAAGTAGCCATGAGAAACAGCTGATTCAACAAGGATAAAATATCACAGGAGGACTGGTGACGTGAACTGAAATCTTGTTTCGGAAAATTATTAACCCTCTGGTTTTGTTCAGGCTTTATTATTATTATTTCAAAAAAGTTAATGTACTTATGTATTTTTTTTTGGGGGGATATGGTACTGAATTGTATTTATGAAATAGTTATGATTCATTTATTACCTGTTAACCTTTTTTTACATTTTTTAATAACCCTTTCAAGAAAACACTTGGCAGATTGTTGCTGAAGTCAAATAAAGTTATACAATTTTAAGTTTATTTTAATGGAAAAAAAAAACATGGCATACTATTTTACTACTTTAAAATTATACATTAAATGTATATTTTTTAAAACATGTTTTAAACTAGAACTTAAAGAAAATCAAAGCCATAAATCTGAACAAGTTGTGTTCCAAATTTGAGGTTGATATCACTAAAAATGAGCTTTCAGTAGCCATTTGTTTTTTAGGACCATTTAACCTTTTTGAATCATGTCCATTATTTTTTTTTTTCATATTCACATATAAAGTGCCAAAACCTTTCCCAAGTTTTGTAACATTCTGTGAAGTAAAAAAAAATAAAAATACAGAGCCGTTAAAGGGACATGGTGGTAGAAAAAAATCGGAGTGAGTGGAAACAATTCAAGGAGGGAGGAAAAAACATTTCGTTCACATTCCCTCGAGAAACTGTGCGTTCTCTCGCAAAACCAGTTGAGCTCGGACAAACTCTTCCTGTTCACTTTACAGCTGGCAGTGGTTCATACAGCTCGTACGTTCACAATGGAGCGGTTCATAGAGTGTGTTTATTTTGAACTTGGACTCAAGTATAAAGAAATACAGTCAGTGCTTATTCAAGGCATGGTTTTGGGACATTCTAAAACACTTAGGGCCTCATTTATAAAATGTTGCGTATAAACCATCCTAAATTTGTTCTAAGATCACTTCTCAAAAGTGCGTAAGTGTGATTCAGAGAAAACGAACGTGTGCACAAAAACACGTGCGTGCGCCTCTCTTCCAGATGTGGCATTTATAAATCGCAAATGATGTTGAAATTGTGCGCAGCTGACTGGTGTCAGATCTCCAGCTTGTACACGCCCCCTAATTAATATCATTACCATATAAATGTGTGTGTGGTTATATTTTTTTCTATTGACTATTATCAAAATTACTACTTCTAGAAACAACAGAAATAATAATAGAATAGTAATTCTAAAACAATTAGGTTTCCAAAAGTAAGAATAAACTACGAATTCAAGTAAAATTTTCAGTCATCTTATAAAAAGTAAGCCATCCAATATTAAAATCACTTGCTATGACAACTAATAAAAAGTTTAATGTCAGGAAATTCTTGCAAAACTTGAAAAAAAAACATTGAAAAAAAAAATTGGACGTTTCATATCATAATAAAATAAATTATTACACGATTATGGTCTCTTCTATGCTTGGAAAAGAAAAGAACTTTACTGAGTCTGAAATTGAGGTCCTGCTGGCGGAGGTAGAGGTTCGTGCTGCGACGCTTTTTATTTAATAATGTGTAATTATCTTATACAAATATAACTGATGTAAATGACAAAAACAAAGTTTAAGGCTGATGTCTCTATTCATTTTCACAGAAGCAAAGCAGCAGATATTATAAATAAAAACAGTTAACAATGTTAACATCAACATCAACATCTGATCCTCTGTAATTCTCAATAACAGCAGGTGTTCATCACTAATGCACACTCATCATTTAATTAGTCACTTAATTATCAC